GAGAGAGAGAGAGAGAGAGAGAGAGAGAGAGAGAGAGAGAGAGAGAGAGAGAGAGAGAGAGAGAGAGAGAGAGAGAGAGTATAAAAGCAACGCAGAGGTATAAATCGGCGAAAGAGGTCCTGGGCAGAATCCGGCAACCAGGGTCCCTCTTGATGATTCCGCCAACCAGAGAGATTTCAAGACCAATGCGGAGGTAACCCAGAACGATATGGTAAACTGAAGGGGGGATTAAGAAATTCAAGAAAAATAGAAAAAGAAGGGAAAAAGGCGTCATCGAGAAGTCAAGGGGAAAATCAAGGGACCAAAGAAGAGGGCGACAGTGGAATTGTCGGATGGATCGACTCGTTCCAGCATTTCCTTCTGCTGACTGCAGTCACTATACATCCATCGACAACCCAGGAACTAGTCGTGCTCTCGTCATGTCCAAACAAGTATTGTGTCATCGCTATCGTTTGTTCGCTGGGACAGCATCCCACGCTCACCTCCACCTCCATCACCTTCCGTATCGCATGCGACGACGATGTCTGCGCCGCGGGTAGTGTATTATCGTGAGAGCCCAAGGGATTCCCAGGTAATTGATTATTATCGTACAATGGCGGAGATTCGAACCATCGAGCCTAAAAAATTTCGAAGAGCATTGCAGAATGGTCGACACGGGGTATCTTGCGTTTTGTTTTTGTTGGTTTACCAGGCCCAGACCTTGAGCTGTATGAGAGAAGAGAAGTGAGTAGATGCATCTGCACGAATTGCAGAAAAACTTACAAGGGAATCCCAAGATCCAGTGCACAGACTGATGCCATCGTTGCTGACACCGAGGCAGCTCACGCGGTTCTCGTGGCCACTCAACGAACCAACCTTGTCGCCACGCAGAACATCCCAGACCTTAATTTAGAAATTTAGATTGAGTTTCACTTGGGGGGGAGGCTCGACGTACCTTGCACTCGAAATCATCGTAACCTGCGAACAATAACCGACCAGAGACTGAGAACGCAACGGAAGTGATACCGCACAGAACTTGATCGCTCTGTAGGAAGAAATTCTAATGTCAGTTTTCGGCAATCGAATCAGTGTCTAGAGTCAAAGATGATTACCTGGTAGGTGTTAAGCTCGCGATCGGCACGGATATCGAACAGACGGCAGGAAGTGTCATCGGAACCAGTACCGAAGGCGTTGCCGTCGGGGAAGAACTGAACGGCATTGATGTCGGACTCGTGACCGGCGAATGTCTGGACGGACTTGCCAGTACGGATATCCCACAGCTTGGCGAAAGCATCGCATGCACCTGAAACGAAGATGTTCTGGTTGGTCGGGTTGATGCTGATCGACATCACGTCACCCAGGTGATCGGCGAACTCGGTGACCTTGGTTCCGGATTCGATATCCCACAGCATACAGGTCATGTCGCCGGAGGAGGTAATGATGCGGCGGTCGTTGATAAAGCGACAGCAAGAGAGATACCCGGAGTGTCCAGAGAGCTCGCGCGCGACACGAGTCGGGCCTTCGCGTGATGACAGGTTGTAAATCGAACAAATGTTGTCGAGACCACCGCAAGCAACGTAGTTTCCGCTCGGGGCGTAGGCACAAGTCATCACCCAAGATGAGCGTAAGGGAATCGCATGGACCTTGTTTGTGGTGTAGGCATCCCAAATGATGAGCTTTCCGTCCTGCGAAGCCGACACGAGATGGCGCCGGTCGGTGGACCAGTGCATGGCATAAATCTTGGCGAGGTGACCTTTCAGTGTACGTCGGGGCTTCATTCCAATTCGTGGTAGGGCATCGGTCTGGTTCTGCGCGACCTCACGGACTAGACGGGAGAGAAAAGTCAGTACTATGGTTCCAGTCTTCCCGGACTATGCAGCTAATAACGGGCTGGGGAGAAACCAAAAAAAATTTAAAAAAGGGAACCCTCAAGACACAACAACGGGTGATGGGAGTCGCACGGGAGGTATCGGCTAGCTCATCCTTTCTGCGCTTGATCTTGTCCTTCAAACCCTCAGCTTCGCGCCTGGCCGCAGTGATCTTGGCCTGCATCTGTTCGCCGCTCAGGTCGGCCATTTTGTCGAAACGGTACCCCGGGGAAAAACAATTTTGATTGAAAAGATTGGTAGAGGGGGGAAGGGTAGAGAGGGGGCTGAATGGGAGTGGAGCGAAGAAGCAGGGGAGAATTGAAAGGCGGAACCGAGTTGAAGCGCCTTAGGCTTGGATCATAATATGAACTAAAAGTTAAGAATAAGTAAGAAAAAGGGAGGGGAAGGGAGCCAACAGGAACAAAAGGAACAAAAGGAACCAGATGAGAGAGAAAGAGAGAGGAACAGGGGGTGAAGACCGAACGAGGAGAGAAAGGTGGTATTACTAGTGGTAATAACCAACATTGAAATCAGAAGGGTACCTCGACTGGCTATGATTTTATACGAGGCCAGAAGTACTTTCTTGGTTTTTCCTGGTATTGAATGAAAGAAAATTGTCGCAGATGTGAGTCCTCCATACATCATGTACTCTGTAGAGTCCAGGATCTTCAGATGATTTCAATCCTTCTTACGGAGTACAGTGCTTTGTTTCCCCAAATCCCCATAAGTGGAGTGGGCATCGTGTATCTTCTGGGTAGCTAACAATACAACCTCAATACATGCAAATTGTCTTCTCCTGGTACCTGATGCCGTCCTGTTGTTTTGTTGATGTTCGAGCCAAAGCCGACGAATATTGGACATGAGCATACTTGACTAGGTAGTATTGATGTATATAGCTGTATCCAAGTCAAGGAAAAAAAAACCAAACCAAAAAAACTCCTCAACCTTTATTGGTTCTCAGGAGA